TATTGATTAGTTGATTGATTGATTGATTGACTGATCAGTTCACTGATTAATTGAATTGACTGATTGGTAACTTTTTTTTTCTTTTTGGAATTCCTTTTTTAAAATAAATTATTTGTAAAATTTTTTTTTTTGCAGTTATTGGAGCGTTTGAAAGAAAATCCAGAATTATTAGAAGCTATAAATAAACATAAAGTTACGAAAATTACGCCTAAGACAATTATGGATGAATCATTTAAAATTGCTACAAGAATTGAAAGACAACTATTCAGTCTTATACCGGGAGTTCCTGGTTTAATAACTTATAGAAATGCAATGGCATGTGAAGTAGCAAGAGATGAATCAACTACAATTAGTATATAGTAATTGTTAAATTTGAACAACGATTATTTTTTGATTACTGTATGAGATTCCTGAAATTTGATGGCTAATTATTACGATCAGTTTTTTTGATTACAGTATAATACTCAAAATTTAATGGGTAATATTGTGATCATTTTTTGATTTCCATATAATGAGTTGTCCTAAAATTGCATTGCTAATTGTTACAATCATTTTTTTGATTACGGTATAATCTATATACTTTAGCTATTTTTATTTGAATGAAAAAAAAAAAGCAGTGATGTTTATAATTTTGAAAATGAAAAATTTCTACTTCAAAACATTTGTGAATTAAATTACTCTAAAATATTAGCATTGATTTTTCTTTTCTTGTAATGATTCTATCCATTATTTAATTAATTTTATTTTATTGTTTATCTTATCAAGCCTATTTGTGGTTTATTTTAAATAACATTCAAAATATTTTCTTTCATCTCTTTGATCTGATCTCTGTTCTTTCTGATAAGAATCTTCAATCTGAAATCTTTTAAATCATTAATCCGAATTTCTTTGAATCATATTGTATTCTTTTCTATTATTTTTCAAATTTTTATTTTAAACAAACTATTACTTCCTTGGAATGATATTGATTTCCAATATTTTTCATTGTTAGAATTACTATTTATTTATCCTTCAATCATTTATTTATTACCTACTTTGATCCATTTATCTCACCTTTTTTTTTCTTCTACTCTGATAATTGATGATATTATCATTAGTGGCAGTTAAATTTGCTGTAACAAAATCATTTTATCATTTTTTTAGATTGTATAAAAGATTCAACATTCATACTTTTTAATTGAATATGGATTGATAAGAGTTGAAATACGATCTAACTATAAGTTTATCTCTTTATTTGACATATAACAAGAATATCATTTAATGCTATTTATATTTCCATTTCAAATTTATTTTTTTATTCGATATGATTGAAAAG